AGTGAAATTGTTCAGATACATAGTTAGACAAGCATTTATGTACTTTTCTGAATCAGACACTAGGCAGATAATTTAATTTACATAGCTATTTTTAATATAAGACATATATGGCTGGCTTTTTTCTAATCTTTTTAATGTGAACTATCTTGGATCATGAACCCTCCCTATGGAAAAAAATGTGTTTGTTAAAAGATTTGGCTCAGAGTTTAAGGCTGCCTTGAAACTAGTTCTGAAACAAATCTTACATCAATCCTATTGTTTATATTTTGTTCACTTATTAACAATCCCTTCTCTGTAACAGAGATACAGTATACGGCATTTAGAGCAACATCTTACCACTTGAACACACTGAAACCAAGCATATTGTTTTTGTTACATGCATATCAATGGATTTACTGACATAGTAGAAAAATACTTGTGTTCTTCCCAAATGAGAAATTAAGCAGCATTGTCCAAGTTAAAAATAAGCAAAAGAACAAACAAAACCTTGGATAAAGTAAAATAACAACAAATTATTGGCTTAGCAACATCCTAGCAATGTCTAAAGTATATCTGTAAGTATAGAAGGTTAATCCCATATGGTTCTTCCTGTTCATAAGAGCGTGGTGGTGAATATATATGCTTATATATACAATACTAGACCTGGTTGTTTCAGATTAGATCTTTCAGTTTGTATAGACTTTCCCCAACATTCAGGGAGGAAACCTGTGGAATCCTGCCTGAATCCTTGGTGGGTTGTTCCAAAGGCTCTCAGGGTCAACCACTCTAAAGCCAATTTATGTAGTGAGTCTTTCCTGGATCTGGGGACCCTGAACACACTTACTCCTGAGCCCTGGGGCAGTCAATTGGCAGGATTCCAGGGTCAAGTACTCAGGGGAAGGCTTACTAAGCAGTAGGGGTGTGCAAAATGGGATGTATTTGATTTTGATTTGGCCCAAATTGGGGACAGTGATTAGATTAGTTGATTCGGATCACTGTCCTGATTCGATTCAACTGAATCCAAATCTGAAGATTTGATGCTGATTTGGAGAATCAGCAATTTGGCCATAGACACAGCTTTACATGTTTTTTCTACATACCTCAAGGTACCAGACATGGTTCGTGAATGTTGCAATGGTGGGGCGGATGGAGCATCCCTCAAGAGCATGGGGGGTCCCCCGTGTGCTCAATGGCAGACCTGGAAGTGGACCGGAAGTACTTGTGGTCCACTTCTGGGCCTGCCACTGAGCACACGGGGCACCCCCCCCCACACACACACACCCCTCTGGCTTGGTGATTGGCTGCGGGTGGATCCTGGATGCTCCCCCAGAATCAGGAGGCACCAGCCTGTGGGGGAGGGTCCCCCATGCACTTCATGGCAGACCTAGAAGTGCTTCTAGTCCACTTCTGGGTCTGCCACCAAGCGTGCTGGGGACCCCCCATACTCCCATGGGACGCTCCATCCACCCCACCTTCTCAGCATTCATGAGCCGCCTGGTATCTTGAGGTAAATAGAAAAAACATTTAAAGCTGTGTCTATGTCCGAATCATCAAATCTCTCAGAATCAATTTGGAGGGTTCTGATTCAATTCAGAGAGATTAAATGGTCTCCTGATTCAATTCAGATTTGGAGATTCGGCCGCTGAATCAGGCTGAATTTCTGCTAAATTGAATCAGCGACCAAAGCTTCACACAACCCTACTAAGCAGACTCCCCATGGCTGGAGACCCAGTGATTTCGAAGCCCACAGCTCACAACTTCAGGGTGGAGAAACATCTTGTTCCATGCTGTCTGCTGGAGTCAGACTATAATGCCTGAATACCCCAACTCTAACTGGGATAACTGAGAACCCCAGCTAGAGCCAGTGATCTCATGGCTTCCAGGTTCCCTGATGTGCAGCCCAGACTTAGAGTTTGGGATTAGATTTGGAATTTGCTGTATGGGCAGAGCTGTCCCTAGGGGACTGCGAGGACCAGGGCATATCAGCCTATGCGGGGCCAGAGGATGGGGGTGGTGAGTGGCCAGACCACAGAGCCAGAGGAGCTGGCAGCAAGCAGCAGCCATGGCAGGACCTGTACAGCACTTCCCATGGGGCCCACCAAAGCACAGGGCCTGGGGCAGCTGCCCCACTGCCCCCTGCCCCCTGCCCTGCCAGGGACAGCCCTGGATATGGGTTTCCTGGGATCTGTCAGTAGATCTACTGACTACAACTGCTCTGGAAAGAAAAGTACCTTTTTTCAGCCCCCACAGATTAAAGTAAAAGAAGAGAATACAATGGAAAGGCAATAATTAATTAATGCCAGTTTAAATGCAAGTACTTGAACCATAAAAAATTGGCAACAGTTAAAGCAAATATAACAAATAAATTAGAATTAAAAATGATCTGTTTGTATTGGAAACTGGACACAGGCAACAATTATTCTTCATTGCCAAAACTCACCAGTCATATTTGGCTTGCCAAATCAAAACAAAGCTAATTCAGACCCAGATTCTTTGTTACATGAATTCCCAGATTTGTGAGGAAGGCATTTGGAGAAATGGTTTTGTCTTGACTCATTTATTCTAGAAAAGCACTCATGCTAACAAATGTTTGGTTTTGGAATAATGTTTAACAACATGATTCGATTAGTTTGGCGCCATGTGAAGATACAATCTGACCCTTTATTTGTAGGACATCAAGGACAGAAGAGTGTTTAATCATTTAGGTTTTACCAATGGATGTGGTGCTATGATATTTTTGTTCTGTAGTGCACACCTAACTTAAAATGCTTTTCTGTGTTTCTCCTATTTAACAAACTTTTTGTATGTAATTTAAAAAAACCCTCAAACATCTACAGCAAGGTTATTTCAAATGTCTGTGTTGGTTTAAATTTGGGAAAGACAACAGTTCTAAATTGAAAGCAAAATCTTTAATGTGAAAGAGGTAACACATGCTAGTAACATGCTATACAATGTATGGTATAAACTGTATATATGTAAAATTAAGCTGTTTAGGATTTTTTATTTTCAAGCTCAGAATTGTGGCTGGATTTCTAAAAAAAAGCTTCTTAAAACTATTGCACTGCCATTTTTCACTGCTTTTGTGCACCACCCCTACTTTCTTTGGAACACCAGTTATCTGTCCTACTAAATGGGACTCCAGAAAGGCCACCTGAGATCTGCATTTCTGATATTGCATAGTAAATATCATGCTTCTGTTTTAAATCTCTTTATCCTTGTGTGTTCCATCTGACTAATCTCAATTATAGAGTGCATAGAGGGATACTAAGAGGTTTTATGTAGTTATAAAGAAATCATTCAAAATAATCAAAAGTCTCATTAACCATATCAGACTAAACATTTAGGCCCCTACCAGTTAGGGTGAAGTTAGACATTATAATTATATCATTTTAAAGACACTTAAAATGTGAATGCACATGTTAAAACTCAATTGCAAGTCCTAAGTGCCCATTAGGAATCTTAAAATTATGCCATTTAAGATTATTTTTGAACCATTCTACCTAGCTTCCATGACCAATTAAGTGACCAATTTTCAGTCCTCCAGCATCCCAGGAAGTACCACTCCATGCATGGATTAGTTATTATCAAGAATTCAATGGCCCTGAACTGACAGATGGGAATTAGGTCACTCAAGAATTGGTAAGTAGGGGAGAAGGGGTGACAGGCAGCAGGGGGAAGGAGGGAAGGGAGGGCAGGAATGGAAAGGGCAGATAGAAAGGGGGATGCGGAAAGGAGTTAGATGTCAGGGGGTAAGAGTTGGGAGAAAGAGGGATGAAATCAGGGGAAGGAGGATAGGGGCATGGGGAAGGGGTAGGTACGGGGGAAAGGGGGAAACAGGTGGGTGGAGAGTTTCTGGCAGCTGCAGGGAGGTAGTGTGGTGGGCCTAGAAGCTCCCTACATGCCCAGATCAAGCTGCACTCTCCCCAGTGCACCCTGTGGCTGTCTAATAGCTCTCCATGGAAGGTGGGACAGAGAGAAGGGGGAGCTGCTGGGTGGCCAGGGATGGGCTTGGCAATTTCTCATGTGCCTAGATCAGGCACAGGCTCTGACTTCTATGTTTGCCCTGGGGGAGGGGGGGACATAAGATGATGCCCTCCCCCCTGCCATCCCCCAGGTGGCATGGCCAGAGAAGAGCCAAGCGGAGCCTATGAGGTGGCAGGGGCAGATACAGGCTACCTGCTGTGGGCTTGGGGCTACCCCCCTGCTGTCCTCCCCCAGAAGCCTGAGCCAGCCATGCCATATTGGTGAGGTACCCCCTGCCTACCCAACAGCAGCAGGGGGCACACCTCTGTGCTGCCACCCCCATCCCCACTCCTGCTGCTGGCAGGTGGGCAGGTGGCACCTCTCCATGGTGGTGCAAGACTCCCAGGTGCAGGGAAGCAGGTGGAGAATCCCCAAGCCCACAGTGGCCAGCCCACATCTGCCTCCACCTCACACACATATCTGGGGGGCATGTGCTACTTTCCTTGGGAGTGCATGCAATAGCAGGGAGATGAACTCCCCCCCCTTGCCACCTAGACAAGCCACCCATAGTTCTGTTGTGCTCCCCACCCCAGCCTTGGGTCCCATGCACCACCCTGGCTGGGCAGCACCCCAGGCCCAGCCCCTGTCCCACTCCCTCCCTCACCATGGGGGCCTCAATCTGTACCCCCATGGACTTACCTGCAGGCAGCTGGGGGAGTTGTTCTCCACCACTGTCTGGGACTGTATTCCTGGCCTTCATGTATGTGTGTGAGTGCACACATGCACATTGTGCCCTCTGCATCCTGCTTCCCACACGCCCTTGGGAAGATCAACAGCAACCTGGGTTTCTCAGTCTTCAGTTAGGGAAGGGTGGTCACTCTGGACTCTTCCCAAGGTGGGGCAGGGCCCTTGGGCTCCCACGTACTTGCTGCCAGTGAAATCAGGACTGCTTGGTCCCTGTCAGCTCGTGGCTGACTAGCAGCTCCTTGTTCACCTGCTGCCCCATCCCCTGGGGGATTGGTGGGGTAAGCAGGCAGCCATGGGGCCTGATGGGGATGGTGCAGGCCAGATCTGGGCATATAGGGGTGGTATGGGCTTCAGGGAGCCCAGGAGCAGGTAGAAACCCCATCCTACTGCCACTGCTACTCTTGGGCTGATAAGGGAAGAACTGGGTTGATCCAGAAAGGAGGGGGGGGGACGGCTCCTGAAGCCTGTCCCTCTTTCCACCTTCCCCCAAGTCTATCCTGCAGGGAAAGAGCCAATGATATGGACAGGCACAGAGCAGACTTGGAAGTTCCTAGTTATGCCCCTACTTGCCAGCCCTCTAGCTGAGGGTCAGAGCTGTGCATGTCAGATCTTAGACACATCCTATGTTTTTTATTTCCTATTAGTCTCCACTTAACCTCCAGGCTCTCTACCTCCCCCTTTGGAGGTAGCTGAACTCTCCTTATTTCCTGCCCAGGGAGCCAAGGTGTCTAACCCCCATTTCTTTGAATTACCCTCCTAGAGCCAGGCACCTCATTTTTTAGCAAGTCAAAGCCTGAGATAAAGGTACCTAAAGGAAAAATTGGGATCTTAACCAAAATACCAGCAATACCAAGTTAAATGTCTTGCAAAGTGTAAATATACTTTTATCAAACAAATCTTATTTAATTAATAAAAAAGTTGACAAGATCTTCCTTTCCATAAGCCCAGGTTGATTGTCATTAATTATATTTCACCCCTTTACATCTTCTTTTAGAGTCCTGTATCAGGAATTCCATTGTTTTCCTTGGATTAATATCAGGTTGTTAAGCCTATAGTTACCAAAGTTAAAAATATCGGCACAGTGTTAGCCTCTTCCAGTCTTCTGGAACCTCCTCAGTGTTCTTAGAGTTATAGAAGAATCCAGTTCTGTTAAAGCTCTTGAATTCAAATTATCCCAGCCTGCTGATTTAAAAATGTATAGTTTTAAGAACTACTGTTTAACAGTTTCCCAAGTTATTGTTGCAATGGAAAGTATTTCCATTTCAATTCCGAGGAAGTGAGGCCTCTCTTTTCAAACTGTGAAAGGGTCAATAGAGTGAGCAAAGTAGTTACAAATGGAGAAAAATCTGAACTGATTGAGTATTTGATTTTGAGGCTGTTGAATTAATACCAGATTCAACCCATTTTGTTATTAGAGGAGCAATCCCGCTGATGTCCAGGCAGTTCAAAGCTTATGTGGTCAATACAGGTAATAGAACTGGGCACTTAGCTGTTAGTGGCCTAAAGGTAAAGGCATACAATAAAGCAAATGAAAAAATACTAGTAGTATTTTCAGATATAAGGAACTAAGAGACAATAACACTGAGTAGCCCAGAATGGTCTGGGGCCCATTCCCCAAACCTCAGCAACACCTCCCCCTAGTTATTAGATACTTCTTCTCATTTGAGTTCTGGATTACTGAAAGAGAATCAGTACAGAAGTATGAATTCAAATTTACACTCCAGACTTAATATTTTTAGTGGGTTTTTTTCATAGAAAACAACCCCAAGAGTAATCCTAATTATTGTATTCCACTTTCCTGTAATTGGAATAAATCACTTCTTGTAAATAAAATATGAATGCACTCATAATAATTGTATGAATGTTTGATTGGATTTCAACATCTTTTATTAAAAACAAAGTAAGACTTGATTGAAACTATTAACTGATTATATAAGGCAAATGTAGCTGATGTCTACCACTTCAATTGTGTGTAGCACAATAATTGCAAATATTTTTATCCAGGGAAAAAAGCAGATTATTTGGGGCAAAATAGGTCCCTATAAACTTGTGTTATCATGGAATGATATGAACAAAACTACACTTCTAACCCCTTTGCACCAATCCAATTCAAAGTTGCCTAATCCCAGACTAGTATCTTTTAATTGAACTACCTAAATTCCATCATGTTTTGATTTCCCTTAGCTACCTCCTAAAAGCACCAAAAAACCAACATTCAGCAACTTTACTGATCCCCGGTGCCTGTGAACCATAAAGTTTGCAACACCAGATGGAGTTGTTATATTAGGAGCAAAGGACTATATTCAGTAAAGGGCTTAGGCAGCATTTATACATTTAAGTCCAGAACTGCAGTGCAAAAAAACCCTGCCTTACTGCTGCTATTCCTGGAGCTTCCTAAATTCCATAGGCATTTTTCACAGGACTGAAGGGCCCCAATCAGGCTCCATAAAATAGGTGCCCCTGTAACACAAGGGTACCCTCAGTAAGGTAGCTAATGGAAAACTACCAACACACTCGGTTCAGTTACTATTTACTTGTTCAGAATAGTTGCTCCAGAGTGTTGCTAAATTTAACATTGCTACACAAACAGAAGATATATGAATGGATATATAATGGGCCTGTAGCAGGGCACAGAAGAGGTTTCTGACAGAATGAATTTGACTGGTACATACATGCCAGACTTTCTAAGGGTTGTAGAGTTCTTGTCAAATTCACTGTTAGCCTAGGGCAGGAGTCAGCAATCTATTCTCTCATGGGCTGGATATAGCCAATGGATATAGCCAATGAAGACATCCAATCCAGCCTACAGAGGTCTGATTCAGCATGGGGGATCAGTCTCACAGAGCTACGCTGTGCTGTCCATCTGCTCCACAGTACTTTTCTCCACTACGGAGTCTGCTGCTCCACAGCCTGCTGCTCCCTTGCTAAAATGAAATACAATAATTGGGAATTGGACTGATGACTATGAAACTTATGCTTAGCTGGGGCCTATTTATAAAAGTTAAAATACAAAATACTGATTCTAATTGCATAGTGCAAGAGGATGTAAGTTCATGACTAGGCCATCTGAGAAGAAATAATGAGGTATCATTTCCAGCTTATTTTACTATATTTATGATGAATTAAGCAGGCTTCTAGTTGTCTGGTATGTAAGTGTGTGAAATATCTATCCTTGATTAATTAGTATGGTAAGTATTTCTTTTGCAATCAACTTGCGTTTATGTGCAGGAAGGGTCATTCTCCATATATGACAGATATCTCCTCCTAATTTACTTTTCTTTTGCTGTTTTCTCCTGATTTACTTTTGTTTTGCCTAGTGGTCCCCTTGATCTTCCAAGGGCACTCCTCAAAATCCTTGTTTTTTCCTTGGTTGTTAATCAGTTTCTTGATATGTTCCAAACTTAGCAGTAATTCATTCAAATTGGAACTTTCTGATAACCAATAATGAGTAGTTTAATTAACAGGATTTTCCTGTCAGTTACTCCCTGGGACTCTCTCTTGATTTACACAACTACAAGAATGCTTTGAAGATGCTGAGCTGAAGGGCATCAGAGAGAAATGAAACAGCTATCAGGATGCACTTCAAGAGTGAGAACTTTCTCCTTGACATGACCTACTGCTGCAGCCAGCTATCTTGAGAAACTGAAAAAAAACAGGCTGTCTCTCTGTCACCTGTTTGGTGACACATTATCATCTTATAGCTAAATACTGGACTTTGCTTTGGTTTGGGCTCATTTAACCTTAAATACTTGTAGTAAATAAAGCCTTTCTGTCATTTATTGAATGAGGTGTCGTGTCAATCCTTTAACACAAGTCTGGGGTCCCATTTTATTACTTAACAGGACTGGGAATTTGGCTACCAGCTGTTCAGAGGGGAAGGGGAAATTCAATTTTAACAGTGCTGCTCCCCTCAGGACTTAGCTCATGCCTAAACACAGTTGGGATCCAGAAACTAGGTTCCATGAACTTAAGTCCTCTCCAGAGCTTGATATAAAGCGAATTTCAAGAATGAGCTTAGAAGCACCTAAAGCAGTAGTTTTCAACCTTTTTTCATTTGTGTACTCCTAAAAAATGTTGAATGGAGGTGCAGACACCTTTGAATTTTAAGTGTTGGTATTCACATACTTTTGATTGATCATAGTCATGTTCTGTGGATGCTTTAAACATAGCTTATGCACCCCACAGGGGTCAAGGACCAGAGTTTGATAACCACTGATCTAAAGGATAGGCTCTGCACTAAATGTGGTAATACCCTACTTCCTTTTAAGGTAGTGTGGTGCCCTCATTATATAATAATGTTGTGGTTAGAGAAATCACTCAGGTTGAAACCCTCCCCTTCCTGAGAAAATTCAAAACAATCTCATTAGCAGTCCTTAACCATCACCCTGGGTGATAGGAAAGGAATGGGGACCAGTTCTCTTTATCCCTTTTGTTGAAGCTGTTCCACCACATAGGAAAGGCTTCAATATTCAGAGCACCAGGGAAGGAGCCTGACTTTGTAGCATAGTGTTTAAAACAGTCGCTGGAGAAGGAGATCTGGATTATGGTCCTTGCTCCAAGGATTGTTTATACATTTTATTTTGCTCAATGATCATGTAATGGAAAACGCATAAAGTTTTTTGATTCAAGGACTATTTAGCCAAGGTCTCTCACCATCTAAGTCAGTGCTGTCCAATGTGGCAGACTGCGGGCCACATGCAGTCTACAAATGGCTAGGATATGACCAATGGGCCCCTGCAGTGGCCTTTTCCACTACTGCATGGTAGGTGAGGGCTTAGGGGGTCTGCTTGCTGCTGGAACTGCCCACGCCCCCAGGGCCCATGAGTTGTGTGCCCTGGGGGCTGCAAACTGGTGTCACGACCAATCGCCAGCTGTGCCAAGGTTGGACAGACCTGATCTAGATGGTGTCTTAACCAGTAGGTGATAGAAACATGGTTACTTGTGCTCTTTTTCTCTGTGATTTGAATATATGCACATCAGAACTGGCTCCCGAAGTGAAGTCTCAGACTTGTCTGGTACCAAACAGTATTGCATACACTGTCCATATTCTCATATACCCTCAAGTGGCATATATCAATAATGAAGTGAAAATAAAGCTAACAGAGAAATACAACTGTTGGATACCATTGAGTGAAATCAATGATGGCATGTAAAGGGTCTGATATATTTTCTTTCTAGTTCTGTGTGTCCACAGCCCATTAAAGTGTATTTCCAACTAGCAGTGCAGAGTCAGAAAGAAGCCCAATGCAACTGCTGCTGTGATTGTACACATGCAAACCATGCTGGGAGAGTGTTTATCTTCTTAGAGGAGCTTATCTATATACAAGGCCTGAATCCATTAATGTCCTTCTCCTACCTGTAAGGATCTGGCCCTAATTCCCAAACAGAATAAGAACTAAATGGCCTTTGAAACTGGTTGATTTGTTAGTATTAAACTGATTGTGGGTAGCTAACATACAGCTATGGCAAGGACAGCCAAAGACTTACACCTTATGTGCCCTTATCGGCTCTTGGGATGAGATTTCCCAAAGAAGGGGAAGTGATTTTAATGGGAAGCCAGCCCATACCTTTGAGGTTTGATCCTTAGTTCTTTATTATCCATGAAGATTTCAGCCCAATTGGAATTAGGTTCCCTGGTGTATATTTGAGCCTATGTTTTTGAAAGTGAAATGACTATAACATTATTTAAGCACTTCGGGAAAAAATGTTTCAAAACCAGTATTTTGATTCTTGTCTATCTTAAATTAGATCAGGAAGTGGTCAAAGTCACATTTTAATTTATAATCAGCACATCATTTAATTATATTGCACATCACATGAGAGAGAAATAACTAGAACATATCTTTATAAAAGAGGCCATCAAAAGTTTTCCATTTCCTGTGTTGCTTTCATGTCTTGACTTTTCCTGTTACAATTGCCCTCTATCAACCCTTCTTTCCCAGATTAGGGGCTGGATCCAAATAAAGGTCTAGACATGTGCAATAGGTACCTCGAGTCCAGCTAAATCCTAAGTACAAATTTGCAATCTAACAAAACCACCAGAACACGGGTGACTGGTGCCTTCTGAGTCTGGGGAGACACAATTTTTGGGTGGGCCAAAAGCCCCATATCCACTCCTATACTACCATGCCACAGCTTAGTGCCTCCCTCCTTCCCCCCACCCCCCCGGCCAACACGCCACTGGCCCACATGGAAAAAAAGCTGTCCTGTCCTGAGTGGTGCCAAGTCAGGGGCCAATCTCAGGGAGGGGCATGTGTCCCCACCCACATGCCTCCCCTACCAGTCAACTGTGCTCCAGAAGCTGCCTGGCACTTTCCTATTTTAAATGGAGATCTCCTGGGTCTGAGGTGCAGAATAAAGTGAGAGGCACCTTTATTTAGAGATTCTGTGTTAATTTACATGGGGAAAACATCAAGAATGATGTCATAGTGGGTGTCTACTAAAAATCACCAAGCCAGGAGGAGGCTTTTATTAAACCACTTATTGAAGTATTCACATAGAAGGACCAGTGGTTGTGGAGTGGTTTCTTGATTTGCTGCTTACTAAAAGAGAGGATTTGACTGAGAATCGGAGGGCAGAAAGCAACTTAAATTGCAGTGATCGTGGACTGACAGAGTTCATGATCATAAGGACAGGAAGAAAGGAGAGCAGCAGAATAAAATACTAAACTGTGGAAAAACAGACCTTAACAGACTTAGAACTGGCAGGTAAGATCCCATGGAAGACAGAAACAGGGGGAACGAGGTGATTGTTCCTTAAACAGACAATAACCAGGGCACTACAAAAGTGCTGTCCTGATTGAAGTCATGACCTCTTCAATGATTTGAAACTTAAAAAGGAATCTTACCATAACGGGAAATAAGGATGACTATGAACATAGTATGAGCATGTACAGACAAAATCATCAAGGATAAAGCATAAAATGGTACATACATACTATTGGACATAAAAGATGACAAAAATATATTCTATAAATATAAGTAAAAGGAAGACCAGGGAAAATGTAAGTCCCTTATATGTATGTGGAGAGGAAGCTATTAATGGGCGATGCAGAGGAGGGGGAAGTGTTTATTGCCTTTTTACTTCAGATTTCACTTAAAAGGTCACCTGTCAAAAAATGGAATTAGCATCCAGCATTCAGGGGCTTAGATACTCAGCTTTGAGTAGGTAAAGAACAGATTAGAAAGTATTCATGCATCCTGCTGACTTGAAGATTGATCTTAAAGTACTAATCACTAAGGTAGGCAATGTTCTTGAAATGAGACAAGCAGATATGGTGCCTGTCTATAGAAAAGGGAAAAAGGATGACCCAGAGAGTTGCAGATGTGTCAGTCTAATTTTGGTAACTGGAAAGAAACTGGGGCATATAATCGAACAATTGATTTGAAAACACTTCAAGGGCAAATAAGGCCATCAGCAGGGATCCTGGTTTTCTCTGATTTAAAAAAATCCACAATTTTCAGTTAAAAAAAAGGAATCCCAAATCCACATTTTTGCATGATTAAAACGAAACACCATTATATATACATGCACATATTAGTGGTGTTTCAACTAAATCATGAAAAAAATCATGGGGGAAGTCAACCTGCGGCTCCGGATATGGTGCCATCATGTGGGTTTTGGCTTCTACAACCACGATCCGCACCCCCATGAGAGAGGCATCCTGGGACAAGTTTGCTCTCTTACAGGTTGGCTGATCTCCTCCAAAGGGCTTTAAACTAGGTTTGTCAGGGGACGGGGAAGCAGAACCTAGGATCAGCAAGCCATGAGCAATGAACTGGATCGGCCCAGGTAAGCATTAAGGTAAGCACTAAGGGGCCCAATAAACATCAGGGCAGGGGGCTTATTTGACTATGGGATGTTATTCCAAGAAGAAGGATTGCCAGAAAGAGATGGGATCCACCTGACAAAGAGAGGGAAGAGCATCTTCACAGATAAGCTCACTAACCTCCTGTGGAGGACTTTAAACTAGGTTTGCTGGGGGATGGAGACCAAAGCTCTGAGGTAAGTGGGGAAGTGGGTGACTTAAAGGAAACAGACTTCTTTATGAACTCAAATAAGGATACAAGATTACACCAACCCATTTTTCTATCTACATCACAGCTATGCCACATCTCATTGCTGATAGACTTCTATCTGGAGTCAGTACCCAGTGTTGTATGGATGCGAACATCTTTAACAGTAACAGATTAAACTCCAAATCCAAGATAACCAATACCTCCATTACTGATCTTTAGTATCATGAAAGAGGCATGCCTCCTGGGGGAGGACATGGTGACCACCCGCAGGCAGCAGCAGTGGTCTTGGAGACATGGTGGCAGTGAGTGGGGACCACCCACAGGTGGCCGTGGCAGTGTTGACGGTGAGGGGAGGAGGTGGTGAGCAGTGGGCAGCAAGCAGGGACTGCCTGCAACCACTGTGCATGCTGTCATCAGTGGCAAGTGGCGAGTGGGGACCACCCTCAGCCACTGGTATCCATGTCAGCAGCAGGGGGGTGGTGACTGCCCACAGAAGCCAGCAGAGGCAAATCTCGGGGGGGCACGTGCCCCCCTGTATCCTCCCTATGCATCGCCTATGTTCAGTACACTGATGATTGTGTTCTGGGTACTTGCTCAATTGAAGAGCTCCAGGTTACTCTCAGTTGTTTCTGTGAAACTTATGGAATGCTTAGACTCACTGGATGCATCTACAAGTACATTAATGTGTTTTTCCTAATGAGCATTAAATTTAGTACCTGTAATGCAAGGTACTAAATAAATGCACAGTAGCCTATTTTACTGTGCA